GAAATTGACGTGCGCGATACTGCGACGGGGTGCAGTGAACACTTCGTTTGCAATGCATCCCAGAGCGCGTCCGAGAGGATGGACGAGAAGCATGGTTGCCAGCTCGGATGAAGTCACACAGTTTGGCTTGCATGACTCAAGTTTCGCACATGGACTCATGGGCATGGCTCAGCCCTAGTGCAAGCAGCTGCGAAGTAGTCACACTTTAGATTTGTAGTGAACGCGCGCTTTGCGCAGTCTTCACTCTGAGCGAGCGGTCTTGTCACGGTCTTGGCATGATCTCGGTCCCTCAGATGGTCCTTTGAAGATGTCTCAGGCAAGTGTCATTCACCAAGTTGTCGGTCCATGTGTTCGTTGACAAAGCGTGGGTGGGTTTGGCGCAAAGGGATGTTGACCTTTGGGTCAGTCGCCAATGCCAAGTGGGCGGATCAAGGGAGCCTCCCAAAAAAGACGCTGCGCACAAGACGTCTATGGGCCAGTTCGACGCAGAGCGGCCAATGGTCCTGCGTTGGGAGAACAATGTTGATGGCCTTCGCAGCGAAGCTCGCCCACTCCCATGCGTCAGTGCATGAACGTTGGCAGGAGGAACGGTTCTAGTTCTCATTGTGAGTCAAATTCATTCTAGAGGTTTGTTCCAATGGGTTTCCAGATGCGTACTACCAAGCAAAAACAAAGTATTTGTTGTACGCGCTATGCATGTTAGGTATGTCAATGTACTCGCTCGTGCCCGCGTGTGTGTGTGTGTGTTGAATGTTGATCATGTTCCGTGTGGTTCTTTTCTTTGTGGTACGTGCGTCATGTTTGTTTCCGGATGTGTGGTTGTGCTGTTGGATGTGCTATGTTTGTAGTTATGCGTGTGGTGCGCATGAAAGGGGCAAGGCTTTTCAATCCTTCGGCTTTCTAGTCTGAAAGTTTCAAGTTACGACCGCCCTGCAGTTATCGTTGGATGGTCGACCGCCTGAAAGCCGGCGCACTCAAAATCCGCTACAGGGCTGCACACACACACACACACAAAGGCCTATGCGCAGCATCTCGAAGTCTCTCGCTCTCCAACCCAGTTAACATATGGCTCCGTTTTTGAGGTTGCTAAGCTCTCAATCTTGCTGTGGGAGTGAGATTTGCTTCTCTTGTATGCTTTGTACCGTTGCAATTTCTGGGCACTTCCCGTGCATCTACTATAATGCGCATGCTGACTGCTTAATTTTTAGCTTTTTGCTGCGGGAGTTGTGCGACGAAGGGTTGGCCTTAGCACTTCTTGCGCAGCGACTTGCGACTTGTCCAGGTTCGCGTGGCTCATGTGGCTCGCTGGCAAGGTGGGCGCTGTGATATGCGACGGGGTGCGATGAGCGCGCGTCAGGAAATCCAAAGCGCAGGCCGTTCTGCTGCGACATGTTGGTGCCGTTCGGTTCCTGTTGCGCAGGCAAGCCAGGCGCAAGAGCTGACACTGCGCACTCAGAAGGCTGAGGCGCGACTGGTTGATGCCTGAGGGTGGGCTCGGGTTGGCAAGTGGCAGGCTTTGGCACGGCAACGCGAACGGGAGCGTTGCGCTTCGTGCATGCAGTTTCCGTTTTCTTGAGCGCTCGCGCGTTGCAAAAGCAAGGAGCTGGAGAAGTTGAAAGATCGCCTGCAACAAATGGCCGCATCTCCAAAGCGAAAGGACAGATTGTGGTCATGGAGGTTGTCAGAAAACCTTTGTTTGCAGGAGCCAGAGCAACTTTCACAAGCCAGAAGGAAGCAGGTCAGCTATTGAGCCATTCCGGGGTCATTGTGTACATGGAAGGGAACCATCCTGTCATGATTGCGCCAAGGTTGGTGATGATTTGGAGGCGTCAACCTTGGATTCAAAAAAGTTTATTTTTTCAACCATCTACAGACTCTGTTGCAACCATGGATCGGTTCGTCAAGCAGATCATTCCGGGCAAGCTTTTCCTCAAGACAGCGAGCCAAAGCCAGCCGCTGTTGAGAACGACGCATTTGCAGAGAGTCTACTGACTTGTTTTTTAGACACTCCACAGCGGGGCATCAGACTTTGGGTAACGGACAACAAGCATGCTACCACGCCTCTGCATGTTGGGCTGCTCTGATGGAGCCGCTCTCAGATGCTGAGCATCAATGCATTTGGGCAGCTCAATGCGGCTACTTGCCATTCCCGAGGCTGAATCGCCTGCGCCCTGGCACCGATTCCCAATTTTGTTACAAGTGGCACTAGAGACTCGCAACGGGTGCAGTAAGCAGAGAAGCGCGCATACACAGATGCACAGACACACAAACACATAGACACACACACACACTCACACGCACACTCGCACTTAGACAGACAGACAGACAGACCGACCGACCGACAGACCGACCGACCGACAGACAGACAGACAGACAGAGAGACAGACAGACCGACAGACTGACAGACTGACAGAGACAGACAGAGAGACAGACAGACAGACAGCTAGACAGACAGACAGACAGACAGACAGACAGCCAGCCAGACAGACAGACAGACAGACAGGGACAACAGAGACAACAGAGACAACAGCGACAACAGCGACAACAGAGACACACACACACAGAGACGCGCGCACACACACATACACACAGAAGGACACAGAGAGACACACACACACACAGACACGCGCGCAGAGACGCAGACACGCACACAGACACGGAGAGACAGAGACGCACGGACATACAAACGCACGAAGCACAAAAGCGCGTAAAATCAGGAACAGAAACATACACAAGCATAGACACCAACACGCAAGCTCACATTATGGAGTGATTCGCTTCGGAGGGCTACTTGTAAAGAGACACACGCAGAGATGTGCATGTTTCGCGCTATTTTCACAGGTGGAACTGTTAACTTGCTTAACGGGGGGTTTTCGCATGTTCGCTGGAATTAGTCTAAAATAAGTGTTTTTGTCGTCCGCTTCGAGCCATGTTCCATGTTGCTTGGGCTTGGGGGCATGGAAAAAACACTTATTGCTGTTTTGGCTCCGATGGAAATTCTGTCATCATGCCCATCATGCCAAACACAGGCAACATGCCCGCAGTAACATAGTCCCACAATGGTCCCACAAGGCATTAATTCCGGACTCTGTGCAGCCATTCGGATTGCGAGCGCAGCGGCGGCTGGCTGCTGTGCAGGACCGGTTATAGAGGGCATCCGGGCTGGGGCGGGGAAGGGCGGAGGCGGAGGCCGGCGGAGGCTCGGCGGAGGTGTGCTTTTTAACTACTCCTTTGGCAAAAAACACCTTTCACTTTTCACAGATGTGATGACACGCACAATAAACCGCCTTTGGAACCCCAGGGCGGCGTGGCTTTCTTGATTGACGGGGGCACAGGCTCTTGATTGACGGGAACATGCCGCGTCTATGGACGACATGAAACACTGCAAAGGCTCAAGCTAAGCAGCTAAGCAAGGCAAGGAACAGATAACACACATGCACCAGCATCATGCACCCGCATACTTGAGGTCAAGTTGGATGAGGCTAAATGGCTAAATGTCTAAATTACCTAAATGTGAAGAATGTGAATGTAGCAGCAAGTGACAGCAGCGGGTTTGTTTGGATCGACCATGGATCTTGCGTCCGCGACATCTGCCGCCATCAACCGGATCTTTTTTGAGCGGTTCGAGCAAATGCACGATGCGTTGGACGATTTGAGGACGCTCACCTTGTCAAGCCAACCTTTTGACTTTTGACCTGACCTTTGGGTTAATTTGGGTTTCGGGTTTTCGCGCTCTTGTATTTTGGCGGTAGTGCTGGCAGTAGACTCCAAGCAGACGCAGACAGTGGTTTTGTTCTGTGTAGCCAAGGGCCAAGGTCCCAGTGTCAATTCTCAAAGGTGTTTCATTTCAGGATCAAGTTCAAGTTGGCTCACGGCTCATTTGGGCAAGTGAGGTTGCGCATCGCGTACGCGGAGTTCCAGCTGCGGATCGTGTCTGACCTGCTCGAGCGCGAGCGCGCGGGCCGGCAGAATGAGGAGAAAGGCCACGTGAAGGGCCAGGAGAAGGGGCAGGAGCAGGAGAAGGGCAATGAGAAGGGGCAGGAGAAGGGCAAGGAGAAGGGCAAGGCGAAGGGAAAGGCGAAGGCAAAGGCGAAGGGCAAGGGCCCGCACAATGCCCGCCCGGGCAAAGGACGGGCGGTGCGACGCTGATTCGCGCAGCTCGGATTAGTTTCATTGGTTTTACATAATTTCCAGTATTGAGTATTGAGTATTGAGTCTCAGGCCCGAATACTATCAATGAATGAACGTTTGATTTACCGAGTCTGAGTCTGTCTGAGTCAGAGTTTGAGTCTCGAGTCAGAGTCTGAGTCTCTTGAGTCTGAGTCTGAGTCTGAGGCTCAGGAGGTGCCTTTTCTTTTTTGGTTTACCATCACTTTGCCATCATCATCATTTTCAACAACTACAGTAACTACAGTCGCAGCGCGGCGGCTGCGGGTGTGTGTGTGTGTGTTTGTGTGTCAGCCGAGGACAGTGCGATGATCTGGAGCCGGGCCGGCCGGGCCTGCACAACTCGAACCCAATGCAGGTCCAAGGAAAAAAACCTCGGTCGTCGGGCGTCGACCGGTCTGTGGGCCCTGTTGTGGTGTTACTATGATTCTTTGTGAGTCGAGGTGTGTGGCCTGTTTAAAGCCTGATTGGCGTCCATTGCAAAACACTAGGGGTGACCGTTGCAGCGGAGAAGGTGGGCAACGGAAATTAGCCAACTTTGGTTTGTGACTTCTGGAATTGAAATGCCCAAATCCGTCCGTTGTTTCAGTCAGACTGTGACTCGACTTGGCTGGTTAAAGCACACTAAGAAAAAGACTAAGACTCAGTCTCAGACTCAGACTGTAAGACTTAGTTAGATTGTTTTCAATCTCCGTCGTCAGGCTCGACTCCAGCGTATGGCGTATGGCTTTGTTTTGAAGTTCTTTGGGTGGCTGGCTACCCTACCCTACCGGACCTTACTTACTTACCCATTCCGGCGGTACCGGCACCGGGTATCGGGTATTGGCAATTGG